TCAAATGCTAGGCTATGACCATCACCAATAAGAAACAATCTAATCACCGCCCTTGAAATTCAATGGTGTCACCATCACTAAATCCCCCACTACAACTGGGGGTTACCATTGACCTGAAATTGAAATGGACTAGCCATATGAACACAGTGGCTACAATAGCAAGTCAGAGGGTAGGAATACTGCAGAAAATAACTCACCTCCTGACTCTCCAAAGCCTGTCCACCATCTACAAGCCACAAGACAGGAGTGTGATAGAACAATCCCCTTTTGCCTGGATGGGAGCAGCCCCAACAACACTCAAGAAGTGTGACACAGTCCCAGACAAAGCAGCATGCTCGATTGATATTACATCCACAGGCATCCACTCCCTCCAACCCAATGCGCAGTAGCAGCAGTTTGTACTATCCACAGATACACTGCAGAAATTCACCAAAGATCCTCAAACAGCACCTTCCAAACCTACAACCACTTGTCTAGAAGGAGAAGGACAGCAGTATGGGAACACCACCACCTTCAAGTTCCTCTCCAAGCCATTTACCATCCTGTCTTGGAAATGTATAGCTGTTCCTTCACTGTTGCTGGATCAAAATCCTGCAATTTCCTCCCTGATGGCCTTGTGAGGTTAACCTACAGCAGGTGAACTACAGTGATTCAAGAAGGCAGCTCACCACCACCTTTTCAAGGCAACTAGGGACAGTAATAAATGCTGGCTAGCCAGCGACACCCACATCCCACAAAAATGAATAAAAACAAGAATGTGGGGAAGAAAATTAAACAGGAGATAGAAAAGGTATGTAGGACTTCAATATGCAGTGGACTGGGAAAATCAGATTGAATTATTTGCAGAATGTCAATGAGATTTTTTTTGGAGCAGCTTGTGGTGAAGACCACCATGGAACAGGCAATTCTGGATTTGGTGATGTGTAATGTGGGAAACTTGAGGTGAAGAAACCCCTGGGAGAAGCAGAAATCAGATGTAACAGTGTTACAATTGAGAAAATGTAACTACCAAAACATGAGGGAGTTGCTGGCCAGAGTTGATTGGAAAGGGACCCTAGCAAGGAAGACAATGAATCTGCAATAGCAGGGGTTTCTTGGGGTAGTTCAGGAGGCACTACATAAATTTATCCAAAGGAAGAAAAAACATACTAAGTAGAGGATGAGGCAACTATGGCTGACAAGGAAAGTCAGGGGCGATATAAAAGCAAAAGCATACAATATTGTGAAGATCAGTGGTAAACCAGAGGATTTGAAAGCCTTTAAAAATAAGCAGAGGATGACTAAAAAAGGAACAAGAGGGAAGAGATGAAATATGAGAATAAGCTAGCTGGTAATATAAAAAAAAAATGATTGGAGGAGTTTTTTTGATAGATAAGAGGTCTGAGAAAAGCAACAGTGGACATTGGACTACTGCAAACTGAGGCTGGACAAGTTGTAATGGGGAACAAAGAAATGGTGGAGGAACTGAAAAGATACTTTCCATCAGTTTTCACTGTGGAAAACACCTGCAGCAGAACAGAATTTCAAGAGAATCAGGGAGCAGAGGCAAGTATAGTGACCATCATTAAGGAGTAGGTACTGGGAAGCGGAAAGGTCTGAAGGTGGATAAATCACCCGGAGAAGATGAACTGCACCCAGAGCTTTGAAGCTCATAGCCAAGGAGATGGTAGAGGCATTTATGGTGATCTTTCAAGAATCACTCGAGTCAGGGAGGTCATAGAGAACTAAAAAAATGGCTAATGTAACACACTTTAAGGGAGGGAGGCAGAAGAGAGGAAGCTATAGACCAATTACCCTGACTTCAGTGTTTGGAACGATTTAGACTCCATTACTTAGAATGAGATTGTGAAGTACTTCAAAGTGCATGGTAAAACAGGGCTAAGATAGCACGGCTTTGTCAAGGGTAGCCCACGCCTGGGTTGTTAGATTCTTTGAGGAGATAATGAACAAATTAGACTATTGAGAGTCAGTGGTGTGACCTATTTGGATTTCCACAAGGTGCTGCACAGGAGGCTGGTAAATAAGAGCCCAAGGTATTAGACGCAAGATACTGGCATGGGTAGAGGATTGGCTGACTGCCAGATGGCAGAGAGTGGAGCTAAAGGGGTCTTTTTCAGGATGCAGCTGTTGACCAATGGAGTTCATCAGTGGTCAGTGTTGGGACAACTATTAATGTTATACATTAATAATATTGATGAAGGAACTGAGGGCATTGTGCTAAGTTTGCAGATGACAAAGATAGGTGGAGGGGCAGGTAGTGTTGAGGAAGCAGGGAGGCTGCAGAAGAATTTGGACAGTCTAGGAGAATAGGCAAAGAAGTGACAAATGAAATACACCGTGGAAATGTGTCAGGTTTTGCACTTGGATAGGAAGCATAGAGGCGGCAACTATATTTCTAGGGGAAGGGCTTTGGAAATCTGAAGCATAAAGGGATTTGAGAGTCATTGAAACTTACAGAATACCAAGAGGCCTGTATAGAGCGCACATAAAGATGTTTCCACTCATGAGAGAGATTAGCACACAAGGGCACAGCCCCAGAGTGAAGGGATGACCTCTTAGAACTGAGATGAGGGAATTTCTTCAGGCAGAGGGAGGTCGTGGTGAGCTGCGTTCTTGAAATGATGTAGTCTATTTGGTATCAGTAGACTCACAATGCCATGAGGAAGAGTTCTAGGATTTTGACCAGTTACACTGAAGGAGCAGCACTATATTTTCAAGTCAAGATGATGAATGACTTGGATGGGAACTTGAGGGTGGCAGTGTTCCCATGTATCTGTCGTTGTAGATGGTATTAGTAGGGAAGGTACTGCCTAAGGAGTACTGGTAAATTTTTGCAGTGCACCTTGTAGATTTGTACACATTGCTGTTTCTGAGTCACAGTGATGGAGGGAGTGAATATGCAGGGATAAGGTGTGAATCAAGTGGCTGCTTCATTCTGGATGATGACAAGGTTCTTGAATGTTGTTGGAGCTGCACTCATTCAGGCAAAGGGTGAATATTACATCATACTCCTGACTTGTGCCTCATAGGTGATGGACAGGCTTTGAGGCGTGTCAGGAGGTGAGATACTCACTGCAGGATTCCTAGCCTCTGACTTGCTCTTGAGGTCAGTGTATTTATGTGGCTAGTCCAGTTCACTTTCTGGTCAACGGTACCCTCCAGGATGTTGAACTTGAACCCACATCTTTTAAGTGAGACGAAATAGTATCGGCAACTGAAACACTTCTGATAATACAAAAGATGTGATTCCTAAATCAGTTGTAACATTGTTGCATCCTGCAGCCCAAAGCTTTTCATTGTTACTACATCAATTAAAAAGTTTAACAGGTTCCTGCTGGCACTGGAAAGTGCCCCTAAAATAAATAATGGATACTAGAACTGAAACAGTAGCTGTCCCACAATTCACCTCTCATGACTAATTATTGATCTAGACATATTTTACCTTTATAAACTAAGTTTAAATATTTGAATTAGAACATATCTTAAATATACTGGAATAATATTTGCTTTAAACATATAAAAAGCTGATACCAAGTCAATACTTTTCAATTTGCAAAGTCAGAAATCACACAATACCAGGTTATAGTCAACCAGGTTTATTTAAAATCACCAGCTTTCATAGCACTGCTCCTTTGTCAGGTGAAGTTTCAATTTTCACTCATCAGGACCAGGACACAGCAAAGAAAACAAACTTAGATAAAGAATGTCAATTATCCTGCCAATTGGTTATATCAAGGTTGGCATGGTGATGTAGTAGGAATTATTAACTGTCATTTTAGTTTGCCCATTAAATTCAGTTCAGGAAGCTAGGCTCTGATTGGCTAGGGCATTGGCGTGGGAAATTCAACAGGGTTTGGCAGCCTTCATAACCCTTTCTTCAATGACAAAGGTATCATATATGGGCAAATTCCTTTTGCCTACAAAGAACAAGGTCTTGTGGGTGAATAAATGTGACTTATATCATGCGTAAATAAATCCCAGTTTATCGCAAGCCCGATTGATAATCTTGAATTGTTTTCCAGTATAATTCTTACAGTCAAGATTATTTAATAAACTGTCTCCAATAACAGAATCACATCAAGTAATGGACAGGTATTGAGGTTTGCATGCATAGGTTGGTGCAACACAATACCCGCTGTGGATGGTCAATGGAATGTGTTGTTTGATAGAGTCCACCAGTCACTGGAACATGTAGCCTACATTTACACCAATTTCTCTTCCAAGCAACTCAACATCATGCCTTGGAAATATATCGTTCATTGGGTCAAAATCCTGGAACTCCCTCCCGAGAGGCATTGTGGGTGCCTACCCCAACGGACTGCAGCAGTTGAAGAAGGCAGCTCACCACCACTGCCTCAAGGGGAACTAGGGATTAGCAATAAATGATGGCCCAGCCAGCAATGACTGTTTTAAAAAAAAATCCCAATGTTAGAGGAATCATTATTTTAAATATTGCATTCCCAGGGTAATGCTGATTCTAAACACACAACGTGTATACTGTCTTGTCAAGCCAAAGGAGATTTCTTTCGGTCTTGAAATTTTAAACTTTAAAATGGTAATAGGGGTGGGTGATTAATCTTTTTCATAGGCAGCTATTTTCTACACTTGTGTATGTGTAATTTGGTTTAATATTGTCATTTTATTTTCTAACAACTATATTTTTCTTTAGTTACTATTTTACATGTTTTACATTGCTGCATCTTCATTATAAAATTATAAAACCCTTGTATGTGATTAGTAAACACTAGTCTTTTCATCACATGCATACTGCATATGACTTCAATGAGAATTGTTTCTATAGGACAATATGAAGGAACAGGCAAGTATTTCTTTGTCCACCTATGTAGCTCCTGCTGAGCCCCTTCACTATGTCTTATACAGACTCAATTTACAGGAAAGGTGAAATATAAAATCTGGCCAGAATGCAGTGGACTAACTATACTGAAACAAATTACCAAGCTTTTAATCAGCAAATATTGCATACAACCATATACTCATACCTGAACTGAATGTTAACAAGATGAGGCTGAGATCCATCTGACTGCCAATATGTTTCCAGGTTATCATCACGTAACTGATCCACACCAAATCCTGTTGAAGCAATTAAAATCTATCAGTTTGTTACATATTCTATCTAATAGAGAGTGAAATGTTTCACTATGTTCAACTGATAACTGCTTACAAGTGTAATGTGACCTATTACATTTGGAACATTAGCAGCAACAACTTTTTTTAAAAGTTCCATTCTTAGCTTGATACATTTGTATTCTTTGTAAAAGTTCCCATAACACAGGCTGCAGGTATACATCAAAAACAGAAGTTTCTGGAAAAGCTCAGTAGGTGAAGAAAAAAATCAGAGCTAACAGTTAGGGTCCAGTGACTCTTCCCTCAGAACTGATGGTAGCTGGGAAAGTGTCGGCCTATGTGCAGAAAATAGGGAGGGGAATAGGGTTGGGAGTAAACGATAGGATAGAGCCGGAAGATAGAGAAGAGCAGTTGGACAGACAAGGAAATTGATAACAATCTGGCTAGGAGGGTGAATACTTGTTCATGGGGACTATTAGTGACTAACAACAGATGGTGTGTAATGGCAGGCTATGTGATAACAAGGCCTGGTGTGTGGGGCAGGAGGCTAGGACATGGGAGAGTTTAGGCCCTAAAACTATTGAACTCGATATAGTGTCCCCAGGGCTGCAGGGTCCGCTAGTGGAAAATGAGGTGTTGTTCTTCTAGCTTGCTTTGAGCTTTGCTGGAACACTGCAGCAAGCCAGAGACAGAGACGTTGGCCAGGGAACAGGGTGGTGTGTTAAAGTGGCAGGCAACAGGTAGCTCAGGGTCTTTTTTGTGAGCAGCATGTAGATGTTCTGCGAAGCAGTCACCCAGCCTACGCTTTGTTTCCCCAGTGTAGAGGAGACCATGTTGTGAGCAGCAAATGCAGTAGATTAGATTCTGGGAAGTGCAGGTGAAGTGCTGCTTCACCTGGAAGGCACGTTTGGGCCTTTGGATACTGGGGAGGGAGGAGGTAAATGGACTGGTGTTGCACCTTTGCCGGTTACCGCAACAGTGGTAGGTAAGGACAAGGGGAACCCTACCACTGTTGCGCGAGGGAAAAGAAGGGGTGGGCGGGGAAAAGAGTGTGGGAGATGGGTCATACCAGGTTGAGGGCCCTGTTGACAACAGTGATGGGAAATTCTCGGTTGAGAAAGAAAGAGGACATTTTGGAGGCTCCCTTCTCGAAGTTGGCCTCATCTGAACATATACAATGGAGACGGAGGAACTGAGAGAATGGAATCTTTACAGGAAGCAGGGTTGAGGATGTATAGTCCAGGTAGCTGTGGGAGTTAATGGGTTCATAGTTGATATTAGTAGCCAGCCTATCCCCAGAAATGGAAACAGAGATGTCGAGGAAGGGAAGGGAGGAGTCAGAGATAGACCAGGTGAAAGTGAGGGCAGGGTGGAAATTGGAAGCAAAATCCATGAAGTTTTCCAATTCCGGACGAGAGAGGGAAGCATATTGGTATATTGGAGATAAAGTTATGGGTGGGGGCCAGAGTAGGACTGGAACAAAGAATGTTCCCCGTACCCCATGAAGAGACAGGCATAACTGGGGCCCATGCAGGTACCCATGGCCACCTCTCTGACCTGAAGAAAATGAGAAGAGTTAAAAAAGAAGTTGTTGAGGGTGAGGAGGAGCTCAGCCAAGCGGAGGAGGGTGTTGGTGGATAGAGACGGTTCAGGTCTTTGCTCCAGGAAGAAGTGGACAGCCTTAAGACTGTCCTGGTGGGGAATGGACATGTAGAGGGATTGCACATCCATGGTAAAGAGGAGGCAGCTGAAACCTGCAAACTGGAAGTTTTGAAACACACGTAAAACATCAGAGAATCACAGATGTACTTGGGCAGGGATCGGACCAGGGGAGAGAAGACCGAGTCAAGGTGGGAAGAGTTGAGTTCTGTGGGGCAGCAGCAGGCTGAAACAATGGGTCTGTCCAGACAGTCCTGTTTATGGATTTCAGGAAGGAGTTAGAAGTGAACTGTGCGGGGCTGGGGGACTACCTGCTTGGTAGCAGTGGCGGGGGAGGTCACCAGATGAAATGAGATCAGTTACTGTAATAGATGCAGTAGCCTGATGCGCCATGATGGGGTCATGATCCAGGGGAAGATAGGAGGAGGTATCTGAGAGCTGGCGTTCAGCGTCTGCAATGAAGAGGTCGGTATGCCAGACTACAACAGCACCACCCCTATTGGCAGGCTTAATAACGAAGTCAGGGTTAGATCTGGGTGCATGGAGTGCAGTCAGTTCGGAGTGAGATAGGTTGGATTTGTTTGGGGGGGGGCGCGGGGAAACAGAGAAATTGAGGTGACCAATATCACATTGACAGTTCTCATTGAACAGATCGAGTGCAGGTAAAAGAGAGCAGGGTCCAGGTGGAGGGAGAATGTTGGAACTGGGTAAAGGGGTCTGTGGGACAGGGAGAGGACTCACGTCCAAAGAAATGGGCGCAGAGACAAAGCTGGTGGAAGAAGAGTTTGTCGTCATGTCGTGCCTGAAATTCGTTAAGGTGGGGACACAGAGGAATAAAGCGGAGGCCTTTACTAAGTACAGAACGTTCAGCATCAGAGAGTGGAAGGTTAGGAGGGATGGTGAATACCTGACAGGAGGTGGGGTTGGGAGAGGGGATTGAGTCAGAGGGAAGGGGAGGAGAGGAAGGTTCCAGAGGGCTATGGGTATCTTTGAGTTGTTGCATCTTGTGGGCCTTGATGCCTGAAAGGAAAATAAAATGTTTCTTGTTAGCATGACGAATGTACTGGAGGATGAAGTGAAACTGCAGAGTGGTGCAATCCTGAGCCAGTGTCTTGCGATGCAGTTGGAGAGAAAGGTCGAGAGTGTGCATGCGACGCTGCATGGCAGTGAGGGTGGATCTCAGGATGTGGCTATAGCAGCTGTCTGTGGAATATTGAACATCACGGAGATATCTGTGATACTGGGAGGACTCAAAACATGAGGGATGAAACTTCAGTTGGAATCCATGTGGGTTGAGTCTGAGCCGGAGACAGTCACTGAGGAGTGTGATATGGCTGCGGAAACAAGTTTTAGCAAATACTTGATCAAACACCAGTATTAACAGTGAAATTAATGTCAGTGGGCAAGAAGAAAGATTGCAACAGAAATCCTGTCGGAGAGAGGAGCAGAACTTCAAGACGGGCATGCCTAGAAGAGATGTGGCAGTGAGTTAAACACTAAATAAAAACGGAAAGAACTGCAGATGCTGTAAATCAGGAACACAAACAGAAGTTGTTGGAAAAGTTCAGAGATAGTAGGAACTGCAGATGCTGGAGAATCCGAGACAACAAGGTGCAGGGCTGGATGAACACAC